TATTGATGGATCACGAATTCGTAAGTTTATCGTCGTAGTATACATCTTGATAAACGTCCATCTGCGACGTCTCTTGTAGCCTATTTTCATGCCGGACGAAAGAGTTATGTGTCAGAATGATTTAAATAATAATGGATACAATCTCGTAAACATTGCAACGGATTTGTTTGATTTGTTTTGTTGGTGTACCTATAGCTGTGCATATTATCACAAACTATGCTCCGAATGATTAAATGCTCTATTCTGCGTATGTTATGTTAACCTCATACTTTGTAGGCTTGATAAACGAAAACGTTCTTCATACGACATTAAACTAAGTGAGTAGTTTTTACACAAACTATTAATAGTAAGTCAATAAAAAAGCTTGGTAGTGACGGACTTATTGCTAAAAGTTAAGTTGACTAAACTTTTTCACACCAACAAAAAACGACAACTAATAAAAACTAGGCGCGATTTCTTAATGCGTTTTTTTATCTTGATCTGTTATCTAGTAACAGCTGTAATCTGTATATAAGACAAATATTACAACAAAGTTTTAAGATAAAAGACACAGTAATGTCAAAAGTTAAAAGAACATCCTAACAATTTAAAAATGCCATTGTCAACGCCATCTTTCAATCTCGCATCGTCTTTTATCTCCTAAACCACAACATTGTAGCTCTTCCTTTCATCTACAATGGATACGTGAAAGGCTTCCCAATCAGATAGTTGGCATAACTGAATAGCTAATGCGGCCGCCCCCACCTGATAAGCGGAGTTACCGCACGTGAGTCCTACAAACTAACGACGTCAGATCTTATCTCTGGTGACGTTTCAATACACCATCCAGCAGTCGTTTGCTGACGAGATGAACGACCTTCCTGTCAATTCAATCGATTTACTGATGTCATTTCAATCGCAAACCGTTTGGATACGTAGGCGCAGATTTAAGTGGCTGAAGATTGGATAAGATGCCGTTGAATGTATCCGATTGAATGTTTGATTCACATTTGTTGTTTAACCTTGAAATTGCATAGCGGAATGGAATTCTCTTTATTATTAATAGACGTGGATTCAAAGAGAATCTTCGAATTGTTTTATCTATTTAAGAAATCTAATGTAGCTTTTGAATTCAATTCAATTTAAACTGTAGTCAGAATAAGCAAAAAGCGGTATGTTGTAGGTGTACATAGATGATGTATGAAATAAATTTCGAGGTATCCAACTGGTGCGTGGTGCATGAGAAATGCTGGTATGCGAGGACACGGATGCCTGTCTCGGCAGCTAAGATACAATCGCACTTTCTTTTGCAACGTTCGCAAATATTTTGTCTTTAGAATGGCTTGCACACAGTAACGTATTATTCGTTTGTACGGTGTTCAAATGAATCATCACAAGGTATATGTTTTTAAGATGTAAAAAAAATATTCGACCAGTTATAGTGGTATAATAAAAATGTTATTGTCTTTGAACATTATTTTACTGATACACTTGTTTAAATTGAAGGATAATTTTATAAGCTACGTTTTTTAGTTTGTGCTTAGTAAGGGTTCTATATAATTTCTTCTTTCCTTTCAAATTAAATTCTAAATGACATCACGAGTGTCGGCCGTGATTTCACTATTGAATGCCTTCGTTAATTCTTTTTTCTTATTAGAATATATTGAGTTGTAATATTTGAAGTTCCTGTTGTGTTTACGAACTGATCTTGTCTGTCTCAGTCTTGTACGCTTACGAAATTCTATTATTATTTAAATGGAATATTGGTTCTTTCTGACTAATAGTAAGCATAAGCTAACAGTTTCGTGATAGCTCTGGTATACAGTTATATGTCAACTTCGAATAAGAATCTTAAAAAGAATGATAAACTTAAGAACAAAAGGTTATAACATAACAAACATGTAGGAGTTGAGTAGCAAGAAAAAATTGCGATAGGGTAAACTGCATGCAAAACTAGTATGAAATAAGCATAAATATCGTGATGCAACGTATCTAAGCATACTGCGCGCAGTGAACATGATTAACGACTAAGCATCGCTGTCTCAAACGAGCGGATCGACAATATTGTCTCATTTATTGCTAATGATTTATTGACCATCGCATCTGTACGTGTGCACCTTGAAACAACTTTCTAACATAAGTAGTCGATGAATTTAGTTGTCTTGATAAATGTTTACAATTGATAGGTTTTGCATTTGTTCATTTAACTTTGTAATAAGACAGCTTATGCGGGTTGTTTCTCTATTAAAGTACAGACGAACCTGGTGCGATTCCACGAGATCACGATATTTTTGTTGCTTGTACAGATTCTTCTCTAACCCGAGTATCTCGCTTATGGAGGTCGTCCGTCGGGACTGACAATGACTCTCGCTTATAAAGGTTTCTCGCTTATCCAGGTTCAACTATAGATACTGAAATAGTAGTATAATGATGTTTGTGTACTTTTTAATTCTAATAAATATATTGTAGCTGTTGCCTGTGACTCTGTCCGCGCGGAATTGAATAACAAACTTAGTAGCCAGTACAAAGTAGTGTTCTTCCAGACTGTGCTTTACATGTATATCTAATTTAACCGAGAACCATTTAGCGGTTCTTCAGATACAATCTAACAAACATCCATCCGTTCATCCATCTGTATATTCGCATTTATAACGACGTATTATCGAATTATAAAATTAGTGAGCAATTTCTTTCATACTCGAATTTCGATAAAAATAATTAAAATAACACGTACTGAAAGCTGTTCTCAAACTTTTCCGTAAACACACGTTGTTCATCCGTAACGTGTAATTTTACAAAAACGTAATAATACACCATTGAATTGCTGTGATTCGGCTCCGGTCTGTCGATACTCGACCGAGCAATCGGTACAAATTACTCAATAATATTCTCCGTGTTGATTCTACAAACTATTGTAGCTCAGAGTCTCGTAAATTCGTGATCAGACCACCACTAGAACATATAATAAGCCCTCAATAACTAGAATGTTTGATATTAAAATTACTGCGTTGATTTGTCTTTGCAAGAAGAATTTTAAATATATTTTTGATCCTAAGCATAAATTGTCAACCAAATCGCACTGAGTCAGCGTGATTGACTATGGCCTAGTTACCCCTAACTTAGGGTAGGCTCCGAGCCCCTTAGTGCGGACCTATAGTGAGCTCATGATGTTGATAAATTTAACAAGTCTTTAAAAGTAGTGTTTGTTTAGATGTTAAAAGTTAATGTATAGCTGTCGCGTTTTTTTCTGTGATTTTTTTTTCTTTTCTCGGTATAAAGATAACGCGCTTAGTTGCGGACGGAGATTTTTTACAATTCTCACTGCCGTACACATACAATGGAGGTTTTTATAAAATTTATGAGTGCCAGATAAGTAAAACACTCGAAACGTATTTTATCAACAATAAACTATTTGACTCACTGAAAATAAACTGTTTCCGATAATTCTTTATCTACGCTGTGATAACGCTTTCTAATTTCGTTTTTATTTTGCCTTTGTATAAATCATTTTTATTATTATAATAGTTCATAAAATTATATATCAGTTCTTCTAATAAAATAAATATCCTTGTGATACTTTAAGATAAACTTGATAATCTTTGGCAATAAATAAACGCACAGTTTGCGGAATTGTTTGACGTTAAAAATGTTACATTTTACTTTTATGTATTAAAAATTACTTTTATGTTGAGTTTTTTTCCTAATTGATCTCACTAATATTATAAATGCAAAAGTTTATTTGGCTCGATGGATGGATGTTTGTTATAAGTTATCTCCGGAACGGCTCAACGGATCTTGACGAATTCGGCACATATGTAGAACAATGTCAGGAAGATTATATATGCTAATAATTAAGTTTTTTTTTATACCACGCAAACAGAGTCGCGGGCGATAGCTAGTTAATTATAATAATAAGATGAACAAATATTTATGAATTGCTTTTGTGTTTGTAAAAACATTTCCACAAAATCAATTTTCTTACGTTGCATATGATATTTTGGTGCACATATTAAATTTTACGACTCCGTGCCGTCGGCATTGGCTTCATTAATAATATTCCGACGTAAAGCGATGCACTATTTCACTGAGCTCCATCCGGAATTAATTTCATAGTTGGTCCGGCGAGGTCGTAATTATAGCGATTCCGTCCGTAATGAAGATATCGACTCATCTCATTTATTGCAATAATGAAATATAGAAATATTAGAACGACGGAATTTACTATCCTCTATAGTCTAGTCGAGATTGCGCAGAAATATTTATGCTTTCTGTTTTATTGTCTTAGAGAATTTTAATGGTATCTATGGGTGGTTTAGGAGTTATTGTTTGCAGTAAATCTTTTTAATACGTAGCAAATTGCTTCTTAGTTTTTTATAGGCTTAGTTAGAGTAATGACTTGTAATTTTTGTTGCGAATCCAATCGATAAATTGCGTAAAACTCCATGGATTCTAGAAACGTGGACATCGTTTTAGGCCGTTCAGTCTTGGGACGTGCATAGTAAATCGATCACTGATATTTTTTGTCAACGATACAGAAATTTCGAATTTCGAATCGGCCCGGCTCGCCCGGTGAAATACCACGACCACACAGAAGACAGGCGTGAAGTGGAAGCAATTCCGCGTTTCGTCTGATGAGTGTGCGTCCCGGAGGCCTAATTTAGTCCTCTTTCCCTTCCCACCCTTTTTCTTATAAGGAAAGGATGGAAAGTGGAGGTGGACTTTCCGGATGAGATGATGCAATGGTGTGATGGGAAATATTTTCTTTCTGTGCATCCTCTCCTCTGTCGATTAAAGGTAGGCAACGCATATGCAATTGCGTGTGTCTATAGGCAACGGTCACTTCGCTATTTCAGCGAATTCAGTTGGCCGTTCGCTCGTTTGCCACCTTATGATATAAAAAAAAATAAGTGATGTTGACTGTTGTTCCTGTTTCTAGGCTGGAATGTTACAGGAACTTGAAGATTTACCACGCATCAATTGGTACCATGACAAATAAATGAACCCATTATTTTTGTTTACAGGTAGATACTACAGGTCCAAGCCGCATGGATAACTCTGTGTAAAACCCACTTGACATAAATGTAAGTATTTTCTTGAATTAAAATATAGAAATTAATTTTAAAATATTGAAATTCATATCGCACCTACAGACCATTTTTTTATATCGTCTACGGACCTTTATACATTGTTAGATTTTATTTGGTTAGTAATAAAAATTCTTTCAACGTTTTACATTTATAATGTTTTAATGTGGTTGCAATTACATCATAAAAGCTAGCAGCGAGCCCCCGCTCCGCTCGTGTAAATACCACTTTTTATTGACTATAAAATATCGGCTCTCGTTTCATGTCGAACGGGTTTTATTCAGTCTGTAACGGTTCAGATGGATCATCATCTGTGGCTACAATATTTATGTTAAAGCTGTGATATAAAATCTATAAATAGTTGGAGCTTGAACGAACCTCATCCTATTTATCAGGTATATACTGAAAAGTGACTTAGACTTGATTTGAGGGGGCCGAGTGCCAAGTCTAGTCACCATACCTTGGCAATCTTCGTTGCGTTTATGAGAAGCGATAAAATTACCGCACTCAGATTCAAATTGTCCCTTTGGATATATTTGTAGTATGAGAAATTTACTTTAAGGTACAATTAGTAACCACTTAACGTCTTTGCGAGTGGCAGTTAATGTCTTTTAAGGAATATCATGCTTAAATATGTTTTGATTTTTTTGTAGTGACTGCTTCTCGATGATGATGCTTTTTCTAGACGTCTGTTTACATTAATTCTTAATATTAATTAATAATAGGTTCATTATAATTTCATTAACAAGACACCCCATGGTGTATATTATTATTGTGGTGAGTTGCCTCATTACGGGATTTCGCCACGCTGTAATTAAGACTCGTTAATAAATAAGAAACATCGTTCGGACACAATTATAAAAGTATATTTGCATTGTGATGGTGACTTGCGTGTTTTATATTTAATTATACGATCGCTTGTATCTTAATAATGAAATTGGTGATTTAAACCGTTATTTTTTTCGTTTCAATATAAATTAATAATCTATTCTACTTTTAGTGTTTTATATAGATATTTAATGGAATATTCCATTATACTATGTTAGGATGGATACTTATGCGTTCGCGTAATGATTTTCTATATTATGTTCGCAAACTGCGCTTGCACAACTAAGTTCATTACACGGCTAATAAACATTTCTCGTGTCTCACAAACTATTGCAATAAATAATGAGACGTTTGTAATACTATTATCTCCGACCGCATACTGATCTTGATCTGACTCGTCCAATTCGAACTATCGCGATCGTTCTATCCCATTCACTCAAATGTTCATAGTTGTATGTTAGAGAGGAATGGTTTCGACGATTCCTGGTATGTTTCGAGATGTAATTATTGCAGGCTAATGAGCGAGTTGAGTTCTTGGAAGGGTAATCTGCTAAGGATTAGTACAGCTTGAGAAATCTGCAATTTCGGTCTATGTATCGGACACAGACATTTTAGTTATTGTAGGAATGTTTTGTCAGTTACTAGCTTTTACCCGCGACTCCGTCCGTGCAGAAATAAAATATACTAAGTAGCCTATCTGTGCTTCCAGACTATGTTCTACACCTGTGCGTAATTTCAACGTGATCCGTTGATCCGTTCTGGAGATACATTCTAAAAAAACATCCATCCGTCCATCCTAACATTCGCATTTATAATATTAGTAAGATTATTAAATGTATCCTGTAACCACAACATAACAATTTATTAATGTAATATCTTCAATACGAGGTGTTCATGCGTATCCCGTATCGCGAATCCTTGCCGGTTTTATCGCGTCATCTACCGCCGATGTCCAGACCCGCCCCCTGTAAGCTCAATTATACGTTTCGTTGCTGACCGCCTACACATAATGCATAGAGATATACGCATTTAATGGTTATTTATCAGCCTATGTCTACTATAGTTTTATAGTTTTCACCTCTAGATTTCCCGTCTTCGTAATTTCGTCACTCAAGTGTTCTTTTCATAGATTTCTTGAGCCTATTTGCCGATGAAAGAGTTAGATTATAAATTGGACAGCATCATCTCCGTATTCCACTCTTTGTGACATAATTTCAGTCAGCACTAGAGAAAACAGAAAGAGAGAACTCTTTTTACTAAGACATATGGACCATACTTCTTTGATCTTACTAATATTATAAATGCTGTTTGGATGTATGCATGGAACAGCCGAATGGATGACGCTACAATTTGGCGTATATGTAGAACATAGCATGGAAGAACAAATAGGCACCTAATTAAGTTTTTTTGTTAATTTCTCGAGGACGGAATCGCGTGCGACATTTCCTACTATGTAAAAGAAAAATTCAAGAGATTTTTTTTTTAAATAGGCGTAATTTTATTCTGTTATTGGAATGTTTTATTTGCCTTATTAAATAAATAATTTGCATGTCCGTGAAGTGAATGTAAATAATATAATATTAGTTTCTAATGGAGCTTGGAAGATATTTGTAAGAGGCGTATCAAATCATGAGAATCTATTTGCGATTGCTCTTCCGCGGCCAGACATGCACGCATAATGCTAACATGAAATTCTGTCAGTACTATTCAAACGGACGATTTCACAGAGTTACCGTTACCATGGTATTTAGATTTAATGGGACATTACTCTTTTGAAAAATGTATACACTCTTTAAGATTTTTGAAAAACATTGTTAATTTTTGTTTTAAGTAAATTTATAACTGAATGGGCTAGGACCTTAAATTTAGCTGAGGGAACAAAAAAAACATTGTGAAATTTCCCAAATGTTTACCGAGTTTTTAGTTTATTAAATCGAAATGATGATTGTAATACTTTGACGTAATTTCATAACAAACATGAAGCAAGTTGGTGCATCACAATAATTTATTCATCATTCAAACATTTGAACATATTCAAAGTGTAAATCACAATGTGTTGCGAGTGTAGAGACAGGGTAATGGACGTTAGTCGGTATCATACTGCGGTAATCTGTATGCAAACTGCCCGCTCCAGAGAAATGATGCGTCTTACGATTGAATTATTTATACTTTTATTGCTACATATTGTGTATATTTTGTGTATATTGTAATATACAGAAAGTACCTCTATGTAATTATGGAGTATTAAATCTATTTTGCGCATTTTATTTCATACTAGCTGTCGCCCCTCACTCCGGCCGCGTGTAATTCAAAGAAACTCAATTAGTAGTCTATGTGTTCTTCAACACTATGTTCTAAATCTATGCCAAATTTCAGCAAAATCAATGCAGCCGTTCTGAAGAGACCTAACAAACATCCATTCATATATCCAAACATTTGTTATATTAGTAAAATATTTCATGAATTTCGCGGTATGGCTCTAACGCCTACGAGCTAAACGCCAGTAACGAATGACTCAATAACATTAGGAGCCAATTAACTCGAACGTTACAGATTTGGCACCGTCTAGTGTCTCGCATAGTTGGCGAACAAGCGCCAGCGTGACGCTCCTGTATGTTGTAATGATTTTATCGTGGTTTATATTACGTGTTATAATATTTAACACTATATAATTGAGAAATTAAATGAATTAAATTACAGTAGATATTGGTTTGATATGCTTGCTCGGTATGATTATTTGCCTAAATGGATGTACAGTTAGCTTTATAAATACAATATTTACAAAAGTTTAGAAGTTTATGTAAGTCTTATGCTTCAAATATATACACATCCCTCGAAGTTCCGTGTTGTATTGATGGTTAATGATTAATTTTTAAACCAAAGGCGTCTATTGTAAATTTAAAACACATCTCCATCTCTCTCATTGTATGTATGTTTGTTCCTGTTGTTGATTTACTATAACCTAAGCATGTCATATAGAATTGATATTACGCATACGAAAAACTTAATTACAAATCGAAATGTTACAATGTACTGAGCGATCTGCATATCGTTTATTATCCGTCAACCTCGGTGATTGATGGACATTTTAGTGTTTGTTATGAAAAGCATTTGTTAACAATGAACGATCTAATTCATTCTCTATTTATATTGGCGCAAAACTCATTTTTGTTTGACCATCATGAAAGTTTTTTGTAATTCGTAATTGTTAAAATGCACCCATACTGTTAAAGGAAGAGAATCAAGGTTAATTGACGCACAAGTGTGTTAATGACAAATTAAATTGCATATTTTTTTATATCACAGTTCTCGTGTGTAAAATTAATACGGATGTAAGCATTTACTTTGTAAGTCATGAGAAGTTACGGAATTGGTAATGTAGCAGCATCTTAGGGATCCTATACACACACAAAAAATATACACTGAATTAGGTATAAGGGTATACTAAAACCAATCCATATATCAACAGAAGGCGATGGGGGTTAAAATATTTCAAACAATACCGCGTGATTAATCGACGATCTCGTGACTATGGATTTTCACAGTCGAAATACTTGTATGAAAACATATTGCCACCTTCTGTTTATATTCTCTTTGTAAAGTAGACATAGCAAAATGTTTTGATACAAGTGTTTAGTCAGTGGAATTCCAAAAGAATGTTATTTTGTTGACAACAAAACAAACAAAGCGCTAGCGGATTGAAATGTCACACGCTCAACTTTAGTTACTAAATCCCACTTTTCTATGGTTACAACAATTAAAGTAATTTGTAGCGATTGTGGAACGCGATTGTCGCATATCTGAGATAAAAAAAGATGTGAATTGTTATTTTAGCATTTCTATCTTCGCACCATTTTCTTGATGTCATCATTGTTGTCCGATTGCCATCATTAACAGAATGTAACTATTAATCTTACTTCTTACTATAATATTATAAATGCGAAAGTTTACATTGATGTTTGTTGGAAGGTATCTCCAGAACAACTCAACGGATCTTGATGATATTTGGCACAGCTTTAGAACATAGCCTGGAAGAACACACAGGCTACAAAGTTTTCTTAATTTCCGCGCGGACATGTTGCAGGTAAAAGCTAGTTAGGAATCAAAACAGTGTAGCAATGGTTTCGGATTGTTAACTATGGGCGACTACAATGGTAATTTATAATTAAAATTTCTACTAAATGAGCTTGACAAAAAGCGAATAAGGGGACCTCAAAGTAGTATAATTTCAAGATTAAAATAAGCATTAATACCATCTTTCGTAACCTTTATCTTAGATACTTGTGCAATTAAGATAAATTATTGAAAGCTATCGTATATTCGTGAGGTCAGTCAGCTAATGTCATGTAAAGGTGGGTTTACACATTTCCTCGGATCCACCTTAATCTTTTATCTATGAAATCGAGCTCAGTAAATCTAAAACCGCGAACCATTGTTGCAGGTACAAGTACCCTTTACTTATATGGCAGCGGTCCAAAATAAATCACGGACAAAACCATATCGGTTCGATCGTAGACTATCTGGACGGATCGCACGAGCGCAGATACCGCTGATATGGCGGTATTACACTTTCCACAGCGATTCTTAAACTTTTTAGTAATCTGTGTATGTACATAGACTATGTAGTCTTACGTGTGCAATATTAGTATTATTATAATTTTAAATTACAATTGACGTAATAAAACAAAGCAAGTTAAATAAAATCGTTTAAATCTTTTTGCTGTTACTTCTGTTGTTTATTAAATTAAACGCGGAACACCACAAAATTCAACTGCTATGATAATTATTACTACGTATTGTCCTCCTTTTCATTCTCTTAGACAAAACAGAGACAATACGATGTAAGAATAAGTGCCACTGCAGATGCAGAATTCTACGGTTAGAGAGTACAATCCACTTTGGGAAGCCATCAATATATCCGCGGTATAGTTAGATGCCCGCATGCCTCATAATTCAGATTTGCATTATTTTAATTTCTGTCGTGCGTCGCCATCTCTCGGCGTCCCAGCATCCCGGTGTCCCGGCCGGTCGTGCGAGATCTCATATCTAGATAAAATTAGATTCGCAATCGCATCTCAGTCGACATCTCGCGCGAGTCGCGGTACTAACGACATTTTTACGCTTCTGTTTAGGTTTTTATCGACTTCTAAATAAATATCTCTATCTCTGATCTGAACTTCATAGAAATAAAATATACCATTATAGCAATTAGGAAATCATCACTTGCTTACACATTGAAACTTATGGTATCAAAATGTAACTTAAATAGAGCCTTAATCATGAATGATGAATAAAAATAAGACCTTCTATTAAAAAACCATCAGATATAAAATGGTTATCAATAACATGTACTTTTAGTTCACCAAATTCGTCATTTAATGCCACCGATTATCTGCATTTTGTGGCATTAAACATCAATATCTGTATGTCAATTTCATATGAATAAAAACCAGGATTCAATATGTATCAGCATAGATATGTTAACCGTTAACTTACAAGGTAATGTTAGAAAGAAAATCCGAAAATGTGGCAGTGTATTGACTCAACACTAGCCTTACTAAAATGTCGACGTTTGTGTCCCCTCACTTTTCATTCTGACACTGAACTTTGTGTAACTGGACTGGACTGGACTCTGGTAAGGAAAGGACGTCATTCATGCCAAATGATTCTAACTAATCTATATAAAAGAAAGTCGTGTTAGTTACACTATTTATAACTCAAGAACGGCTTTACCGATATGGTTGAAAATTGTTGAGTGGTGTGGTACCTTAGAGCCAGGAGACCGACATAGGATATTATTATATTTATTCATATTTTTTCGATTTTATGCCTTGAAAAGCTGCTTTTTATTTAACTTACTTAAATGCGAATGTATAGATGTGATGTGGATGGATGGATGGGTGGGCTACACTTATTTTTTTTTATATATCCACGCGGACGGAGTCGCGGGTGGCAGCTAGTAATATCTAAAAGTAATAATCATTATCATCGCATTAATTATGTGAACATTTTTTTATTGTAGGTGGCGACGCGACCTGAATGATCATCACATCGAGTGCTCCACCCATTAAACGTAAGTCAACAAACAATAATAATATACTCGGTAAATCTTCCGTAAATAAAATAAGTTTCACACGTAGACAGGACAGTGGAGATTGTAGTACTGTTATTATTTGAACGCATACTTAATATCCAAATAGTTTTCAATCTCGAAGTGCGTCCCGGAGGCCTAATTTCGTCCCCTTTTTCCTATAAGGAAAGTGGAAGTGGACATTGCGGATGAGAGGATGCATGGAAAGGGAAAATATTTTCTTTTTGTGCATCCTATCCTTTGTCGATTAAAGGTAGGCAACATATATACAATTGCGTATATGTCTATGGACAACGGTCACTTCGCTATTTCAGTGATTTCAGGTGGCCGCTCGCTCGCTTGCCATCTTATGATATTAAAAAAAAGTTGTGCGTTATATCCTACTGATTTGCCGCTCCGCTGCCCTCGTGTAACAGATCATAACTAGCACAGGTCATTGATTTAATATTGACAAAGTTTAATTTACAACTGCCTTCATTCTGTTTATTACCTTATAACTAACGAGTGGAAACTATCGATAAGGAAATAAATGTATTTCTCGACCTATATTGTTGATATAAACTGTCTGATTTCATCGACAACTATATCATATTCGATGACACTATTGAGTTTCCACTGTCTTTAAACTCCTAAAAATACATATTGCTATTCCAGTTTAGTCAAGGAGAAAAAAGGGACATATTTTGTTAAAGCTTGGAAAAAATGTATAAACACAGGACAGGTTACAAATTGCGCATGCGTTAACTAAAGATCATTTTAGTATTGAATACCTATAACCTACCTTATTTAGGTCATAAGACGTAACCAGTTATAAACTTTACATTATGAGATATAGTCCCCAATGATTTCATCGGTGTCATCGTACAATAAAACCATTATTCAATTAAGCTCGTGTCGAATTCGATTGTCACTTGACCCGAAGCAACCCCAGCTATTGAACATTCTGTACCCTAATATTGTTAGACGTAATAAAGCAGAATTTCGAGATATTGAATAATAATTGGTGCACACGAGTTTAACGTCACGAATAAGATTTTATCTGGCAAGCGTGCTGCATCCATCAGGTCGGGGCGCTATCTGCCGTCTATCGGGATAACCATTGTCTTAGTACGATAGAACGATCGGTATCGGCGAAATTTGTGCTCGCCCCCAATATAACGTTTGTCTTGCCGCAAATGAATCGGGTAATGGGCGACGGCGCATAAAAGGACCGAGTGTCCGCTAAACTTTTGCTTAGTCATTAATATGCCGTGGGAGAATAACATTCGAGTTGGAAAGACATTGAGTCTGTCGTCTCGCTTTTTTGCTATACACGGGTATCGATTTTATATTGATACTAGCTATCGCCCGCGACTTCGTCCGCGCGGGATTATAAAATAGATAGTAGGCGATTCTCAGAACTACTCAATATGCTCACAAAATTTCATGAGAAGTCAAGCCGCTCCGGAGGGGTATGGGAACGAAAATTGTGACACGAGAATTTAATATATAAGATTATATTGTTGTGTTCGAATCAATGTTTAGTAAAATGTCACCAGCATTTCAATAATCAAATCTAAATGAACATACACACCACAATTATAAGGTCAATTTCATAGGAAAATTAAACATACCTAGATATTAGATTATCCAGTACAATGAATGTAATAGACATTAAATTGTCTGGCAACGGACAAAGTGCAGGCATTTAAAGGCGGCCGGTTGATTGCGGCCACTCTTAATAGCATTAGCGTCATTGTCTAGCGCTCCTTAATATGTCTATAGTGTACAGGGCGTAATGGGCAAGCCTGCGACCGATGGGGTCACGAATTCATTCCCTTTTAGTATTAGCGAGTTGGCAGTGAAGCTATGTACCGCCTTGTTCCAGTAGCTTAATGGCCTCTCAAGTTTCTGATACGGATCGTCGGAATAATTATTTTATTTTTACTGTCATTGATAAAAATCTAGAAGTAAAAGTTACAAATACCAAATGCCCTCAGTAGTATATTTAAGGATTTAGATCAAATTTGGTTGAAATGTTTATATTCTATGTTAGGTGCTTTGTGGGTAGTATTGTCGGTTTTCTAGAACTTAAGTTTTTCTTTAAAGCAAACGAATGAATTTAAAAAATATGAACTTTCAACTGAACCAAGCTTTAGTTATATTACAAAACAGCGTAACGCAGTAGGCAGTAATTGTTTGAAATAACTTCACGTACACAAGCTTTATGGTACAGTGGTGGAAATCCACGGTCTTCCACTTAAAGAAATATTGTTTCTTGCCACGAGACGACTCCGACGACGGGATAATAATAAAAAAGCAATTAGAAGTGCACCACTGACCGATCTTCTTTGTACAGACACATTTATAAGCTGCGTCTTTTGGTCATATTTCGCATCATCGTCTCAATGTGTACAAAACGTTCAAACGACTGTAGATTAATGGTGGAACACCGTGAGATTACCTGATTGTACATATGTCGTTAACTCGGTACACATTTTTTTCTAAAAGACTTCTAAGTTATTAAATAGTTTTATGAAGTAGAAATGCTAGTCGCGGCATTTACAGAAGACAACTCTCTAAAATATGCTTGTGTTAAAATTAGCACGTAGTACCAACATTGAGGAAAACAATAAAAGAGGAAAATATGTTATTTAACATTAAATATGTAGCTATGCTATGTAGCTATGCTTGGAATAGTCTCCAGTTATATACATCTCTGAATACAGTTTACGTCAACTCATGGTTTAACCGTGGATTTCTGAAACCAATCTCTCCGTATAAAACATATTGCTATCTCCGTTTTATCAACGATATTTTTTATACAGAGATTTTGTTATCAGAAACTTGCGTTAAAAGATGTAATCACATATTTTATATGTTCATCGGAATTATTACACTTTGGCTATGAAATGGTATAAAACACTTTTTGGGATTCCGCAAATAATTTTTAATTTACGAGTTTTAATGTACATAGTTCATTTTGATCTGAAGTCCTGTAATCCAATTATATCTTTGCGACGACACCTCAATTGCTCATAACAACGGCATAGAAATATAACTATTATTTTTACTATATTAATGAATATAAGTGTAGCAAATTTAATGCCGTTATATTGTACAAAGACACGGTTTATTGCTCCGCTATAATTTTATGCTGTTTTTACGTCCCCGCTGCCACACTGAAATTATTTACCACCGTCTAGTGTCATTATTTAAAATTGATGTTCTGGGAATTCCGTTCCGGTTTCGTTCGTAGAATTTTATAATTTTTTTTTCTATATTTTGTTACATTATAATGTCATTCGAATGTTAATTTTGATAAAATTTGATTGTTTTTTTTTATAACTAAAGTATTTTATAATCTGGACTTGACTTGTATTAGTAACTATTAGTAATTTGCTATCGAATTGTAAAGAATGTTTGGACTAGACTGAGATTATAGGTTAAAAATTGCATCAAGAATATTTCAGTCTGTCAATCAAAAAGTCTGCTAATTGAAGACTCTTTGAAACCTTTTTCTATAAAATCTAGTTTAATTAGGTTTTTAACGATTTTATAAATAAAATATTTCGAGTGTGTTTTGTTTTCTCGATCTCTTGTCTGCAACATATAAGCTTACAATGTGAACTGGTTTAACACGCTAGCTGCCAGAATGATTTTTCGAAAAACGATTTTTTTTTAATTTTGTCCAAAACCATTTGAATGGGGCCTTGCGGGTCATGCTGTATACAACAATTCGGACACATGGGCCGACACGGCCTGATTGAAACATTAGCTTGTCGGACATATAGTCCGATATGGCAGCTAACGTGTTAAGGGACAGCTGTGAATTAGTTACTTGAAGCGCCGCGCGCGTGCGTTCACCAATTAACAATGATTAGCGGGCCCGGGTTCAGCCTCCTTTGATCTCGTAATATTCATTGACTGATGTGGATTTGTTTTTATTTTATTAATGTTTTTTGTCTCTAAATTAAGAAAACGGCAGCAGTTTGCTGGAGTTGAAAAAAATTTTTTGCAAAAGTATTTTTTCATGTACTTAATATTTATATAGACCTTTAGTTCAAACACATATTTTGCTGAAAAATGGAATTTTATGTTCGTTTAAAAGATAATAAACTAGGTAGAGATGAAGGTAATTTAGTGATGATTCGTAATAATGTGCATCATAAGTGTGTATTTAGGTTGAAATCATTAAAAGCCGTTCGATTCACACGTCGATGATAACTCGGCTCATTAAAACGTTTCTAGGAAACGGGCCGATATTATTATATGTTTATTATCGAGACATTCGCAAGCGCCTTCGCTCGTTTGTTATTACACGCGACGATAAAAGGAGTCGATGGTATATTTCTTAATTGCTTATTGCGAGATACGGACACTATCGGCGCGCTATTTCCAACATAATAAGCATTATCATAACAATAACAAGCTGGTGGCTGAGCAGAGCATTCGCTGTGCTCATGTCGCCGCGATAACCTCTATATATTCTGTACTGTAGTTTGAAGTCGCGAGGAGACAGCGCAACGCGTTCTATTTTATTTTAAACAAGAATTTTTGTTTTTAATTTTTATATTTTTGGCCAGTGTTTTTTTGCAATTTTTTTTTTGTGGTTATGCCAGTATTTGTGTTTTTTATAGTGTTGATTATTTAGTGACAGTTTAAGTAAAGGATTGTAAATATAGAGGTAAATTGTTAACTTAACATCTTTGGTATGTTAAACGCAATTATATCAAAAAATATTTTGTCTACACCATATTTGTAAGAAAAAAGTTTGATGATGATTCATTCGTTTGGTTTATGTTTTTACTTAAATCCGATATTGACTGAGCTAAAAAGTTTTTAGCCGACTTCAAAAAGAAGGAGGTTATGAATTCGTCTGTAATTTTTTTTAAATTATAAATATAAGCTTTTTGAATAGCTTTGTAGTATTTTTCAGTTCTCAAATCTTGAACATCTTACGCTTACAAACATATTCCTTTCGTTAGTAAAGTCAAATAGAGATATTTTCTGTTAGAAAGTTAAGCGTGAAATCATACACTTGATGATACCGATTGGTTTTCGATTGTGATTGATGGGTATCGATTATTTATTTTTCGTTGCACACATAATTAGACTATTGTTACGGAATTGAACATCATTTCTATAAGTTCGAATGATATGCTTAGACGAATGTTTCTTTTATCGATTTTTTAACGACTCGATACGATTGTATTGATGCGTCTCAATTTCTTAGCGAGTAAAGTCATTTATCATCTATCGTTTGCTTAAGGAATTGTATAGATTGTTCTCACGTACTTCTTAAACTAAAACATGTTTTGCGATGAATCGATTTTGATATGTTTTATTTATATCTGTTACAATGGATAAAGGAAAATTGTTATTTTGTAGTGGCGTAATGTAAATAATAAATAACATATTCTGTTTTAACTAATGCGTTCTGAGTACAAGTAAGGCTGTGAAATGTTTTCGTACTACTGTATATGTTTCTCCAGAAGTTATTTTCATTTCTTATATTAGACTAGCGGTCGTCCACTACTCCGTCCGCGCGCATTAAAATAAAATAAGACTATGTTCTATATCCATGCTAAATTTCATTAAGATCCATTGAGCTTTTCTGGAGATACTTTTGAACAAACATCCATCGATCCATCTATATAAACATTCGTATTTATAATATTATTAAGATTTGATATAATTCGTAAAATGTTACTGTAAGCTCTGAATATATAATAATAAAACTCTTATCAATTATTAATATATGTTTATTAGCATTTTTTGTAGTATCGGCAAACGTCTTGTTTTGGTTTAAGTTAACACATCGTTACTACCTAACATCTTGTAGACATCGTAAGATTATATATAAGAAATAACATGTTACAATATTTAAATGCCTATTTATTTATATATGTGATTAGCGAAAATTTACCGTAAATTATATATTACTTTTCTTACTAATATTCTAAAAGTGAATGTTTGGATGAATGGATGTTTTTAGATTACGTTTTTTTTTAATTCCGCGCGGACGGAGTCGCGGTAACAGTTAGTTTGAAATAAATTCAAAATTATTCCATGCCAGTATTTTTGTAGCTATAGGAATGTTTTTGTCATTTATCCGTCAGTTGTTTGTGCGTAGCTGTACCGTATGCAAATGCAGCGTGGAATGAATACATAGCTCACCTACGCTAACCTCCAGCGGAGCCGAATATATTAACACAATTGACTGAGCCCCCGATTGTCTACTTCTTTTGTCCGTACTTTTGTTATTGAAACGTTGCTCATACGATGTTCAGTTACCTTTTAACTGAAGGTAGTTTAAAATTTGAGTTTTTTGGAATGAATGAATTAAAAAGTTTTAAATGGAATGCGAATTGCAAGAAAATGCAGAACGGCGCAACCAATCTCGATGAAATTTGGCATATATAAAGTCTGGAAGAACACACAGGCATTACTTTTTTTTAATACCGCCTGGATGGAGTCGCAGGCTATAGCTAGTGTAACTAAATTCTTATAAGCATCAGTCCTTTCTCCAACCATTATACGTATGCATTGTTCCGCAGAGCTAGTATGGTGGTGGTGCTGAACGGTGTTTTGGCGGACGACTGCCCTACATCAGTGCGGGCGCTGCTAGCCGCACATCCCGGCTACAGGGACGCGGCCGCGCAGCTGCTTGCTGCCGCGCCCAGAGTGGTCGGCCCGCAGGGGCTTCTGTATGTCGCCCAAAGGGAACTCGCCGCAGCTGTGCCACATGACAGTGAGTAGCAACCTGGAGCTAGTGTGGTTAAAGTTAACGTATAAATGATCATTGATATCCGTAAGAATCCGTGGAAAATTGCGGTAAAAAAGTCATGGAGCAAGGCAATTCCTTTACATTCTTCTGGTAACAGCTATACTATTTGTTATAACTGAAATGTTATATTTTTTTTTCAGAAAACGTCAGTATCATAGGCTCTGACGACGCCACATCATGTATTATAGTAGTCGTGAGACATTCAGGTAAGGATTCCAATACAAAAACATATCTAAAATTTTTACATTTTTAAAACCAACATCGATTAACAACTCTTTTTACAAATGGCAATGACAATAGTTGATGTACATTGTCATCAGTAGTTCATAGCTATGTTACGTCAGGGTCTGGTGCGGTGGCGCTGGCGCACCTGGATGGGTCAGGCACGGATGAGGCAGCAGCTGCTCTGGTTGCGCGGGCGCTGCACCTCGCTGCCGGTTACCCGGAAGGCCGGCTGGAGCTGCAGCTAGTCGGCGGTTTTACTGACCCACATAGATACTCCGATGATCTATTCGCCAATATTATGCGTAAGTTATTCATTTGTTCTCTGAAAAAGTATAGTATAAAAGCCATAGAAGAGAAGGGAGGGTTTTAGAAGGTGTGTCATCAACTCAACGGATGAGACAACAAAACGAAATGTCACAAATAATCATTGTCAGGACATGATGATGTGAAGCAAAATAACAATTTATTTTTTTTATATTATGATACAGGCGTTAGTTGCGCATATTTACGTCAATTCTTTATGCACATCTGCTACTTACCAGATTTGGAAGTGTTATGAATCAGAGGTCGTTTGCCAGGTGCCATATAAGACTTATTAACGCCGCAACAAACGCGTGGGCGCTTATAACTGTGAGATGAAATGACATAAGCGACTCGTTATAAACAATTAAAAAACATAAACTCGCTTTAAGTAGTAGACAGCTATTAGGAGTTATTGTTACCTCTTAAGAATGATGTTCCCTTCAATTTCTGCGTATTCTTCTAACTAGTGTTTAACTCTTGTCTTATACCGTTGTAGTCAAAACATGTACACTCCAGTTTGCCGTTACACTTCTCTTGAACATTTCCGAGTTTCCGGGTTTCCGAGACAAAAGTTGTCCTTCAAAACATGTTGTTATCTCTATTTTGTCAATGATAATGATAGGGTTGCTGATATGTTTTATATAGATATTTTTATCTCAGAAACATTCAGTGAATCAATTTGATTTAGGTAATAAATATTAGTTACTAGTCTTTAAAAGTGTTACCAGAAGAAATAAAATCCTGATTTCAGACTTTTTGACCAAATTTTTATAACATATTTCCAGTATCATTCCACCGTTTGTCCGAGGAGATCGACCTGACGATGGCATGTTGCTGTGAACTGAATACTGCGCTGGGCGGGGGCGCGGGCTCGCCCCTTGTGACTGGTGTTGGTGTGGACGTTCGCGCCGGAGACCTCTTCCCCGCCACATTCCCTGACAAGGGCCCCGAGATGCCGCTACGAGCTGCTAGGACTATCACTGGAGGCCCTAACTCTGCACAAGTAAGCATTATGATATGTTCGAACAGTCATTCGTTCATTTAATATTTTTTTGTCGATTGATAGGATTCAGAAATCATTATTATTTTTTTAATAAACCATATTTTTTCATGCAAGAAACTACAGTTAGTTACGAAATTGCTGCAGACATAAAAACGGATTTTATTATCGTCTTACTAATACTATAGAAAGTACACAACAAAAACACTGCTAGGATCTCGTGGAAATTTGTCTTAAATAAAGAACGTAGTCTGCAAGAATACATATAACTTTTTTTTATTCCGCACGGACGGAGTTGCGGTCTACAGCTAGTTTGTAATTGAATGTTGCTATATCGAGGTGTTGGACATCTACGACAACGGTGTGGGCATGTTGCGCATCGGGCCGTTCAACTACGACCCTCTGCGCGGAGTGGACCTCTGGCTGGAGCAGACTGACGACTTCATACTGAAGCATCTCAGCACCACGCCCAACGCGGAGCCGCCGCATTTCGTGCACCATGTTAGTACAATATCTTAAACCTACTTCTACCAAACCTACTAAACTAAATTAATTAAAAAAATTACCTAGAAGTTGTGTTTTGATACCGACTAGTTTCTTTTTATTTACTTATAAAACAAAAAAGCTATCAACAATGATCAAACCAAAACCATAACCAAAGCAAACTTTATTTTTAATTTGCGTTTACTTTCAAATTGCAGATCCGTGTGACGCTAAAGTTCATCCAGACGCACCCGTTCCCCGCGGTGACCGTGTTCCCGGACAACCGGCCGCACTTCTACCGCCGCGACGAGCACACCGGCCTCTGGGTCTCTATGCGCTTCTAATTGCACCTGTCACACAACTGTCATACACCTGTCACACACCTGTCATACACCTGTCACACTTGACAGAAACATTTGACAGCTACCTTGTGTAACATCAGGCCCAACGACGCTACCGCGGTTAAAACTGACAGAAAGTATAGTTAGGTAAAGTATAGGACAGAATACGACAAGATGGCTAATTTTGACCCTAATTTTGATGAAATTGCGGCACTATAATGTTTAAATTATATCAATCGGTATTAAAAAATGGAATTAAATTAACGCCATTTCGTTTCTAATTTTTACAAATGAAATATTTATTTTTAAATAAAAAAAAATCAACTCTAATATCTAAATAATGTGGAAAAACATAACTATGCTGATGAAAAATGAAAACTTTGTGTAATTTCTTACGAACCAAACGTTTCTGACTTTTAATGGTGTTGCCATTAGCAGCTTACATGACAATTTATGACATATCTTGGTTATTTAGTGATATAATTCAAATATAACCGCACTAAAACTACATTGTTTTGGTTAAAGTTAAAATAAAACTATTATTATGCGTACATGTCAGTGTGACATTACACTGTGTTGCCAGATATCAATTTGTAAAGTAGACTATCGTAGATTTTAAACTAAATTTGTATCAAAATGTATAAGATTTATAAAGAAGTCCGCTTTGTTTCTTTTTTGATTTTGTTTTAAACTTATAATATGTTTAATACGTATTTTTGTTTTCAATGAGTTCGAGAATTATTTATTTTTAAAAGTTATGACTTAGAAACTGATATTTTCATTTTGTTTTGCTTTAATTTTATGTATTTTATTAATTAATACAGTATATGATTTTTTACAAAACCTAGAATTATCCACAATGATTTTAATATTTACATTGTAATTTAAACATATTCTTTTGTTAAGTTCATTAAATGCAAGGATTTTTTTACATTTTTTCACTTATTCCTCTTTTATAACGAGAGAAATCATATTTTTATTGTTTCCTTTATGTATTAACGAATATAAGTACAATTTAAAGTTGTTGAATTGTATATTTTGGCACTATTCAATTTTACTTTGTTTAAGTGAACACGTAAAAGTGTATTAGAAAGAATTTAAGGGTTTTATTTTGTTTAATTTCAATGTGTTTTTTAAAGAAGTTCCAAGTGAGGTTATGTTGTAAATATTGTAGTGATCGACATAGATAATAATTAGTTACACGTTAATAGTTATTGTTTTGTGAAATATAATGAATATATTGAATATATTGAAAGTTCGATAGTTATTTGTTGTTTTATTTCATGTTTTTAAAATCACATGTTAAGTGACACATTGCATCTAAAATGTTTTACTGGTAACCCCATCCCACATAGAGTATTTTTGTTACGAATGCTAGAAACGAAAATTAAGTAACAAGCTGAATTGCATCTTAAAATTCCGTAGACATTATATAGCAGCAGTGTAAAACGTATTAGTAGTATTACTTAACCAGCTTACCCTTTAGGTCGAATATGGTTTTTCCGGTTAGTTCTAAACCTCGACACATGTGATCCTATGCATGTGTACGAAATTATCGAAGGTGGAAATCCCTGAAAATCTTACTATATTTTTTATTTAAAAAACCAAAATTTGATTAAGATGATGAAAACGATATTCTCGTTACAGTGGTAGACGCAAGCAGTCTAACATTCAAACTACACGGAAGACAGGCGTCAAGTTAAAGCAATTCCATATACAGTCTGTTGTGGGTGCGTGTCGAAGGCTTAATTTTGGTACTGGTGGCAAAAGGGGTGAGAAAGAGAGGGACTCATAGAAAGGAAAAATAGCACTTTTCTGTGCGTTCTGTCGATTAAAGGTAGGCCACTTGCAAATGTAAATGTATACAGCGCTATTTTAGTTAATTTAGATAGCCGCCTATTCGTTTGCCACCTTATATTATCGAGGGTGTCCACATTGTGATGTGTCTCATTCTCCTTTAAAATTGAGATAACGTTCTATGACTTTGTGAAAAATGCTACAATTATCTCTATTATTTAATGTAAAAAAGGAACTCGAATTTTAATAATTAAAAACAAACTGTGCCTAAACAGTATCTCCGATTATTGTTATTCATAATTCTGTTGACAAAAAAATTTTTCGGTTGACAAAATATGAAATAAATGGTAACCTTTACTTTGTCTAATAAATAGAAAATGGCAATATCCCAAATAAGATAAGACCTAAAGGTCTATGTTACCAGGTCATAAAATTGAAAAAAAAAAAACAATGGCAATATCATCTTTGACAGCTGTCTCTTGGTTTATTTGATGTTTTATTTGTGACTTATTGGTGGTTGTGTGGATTGGGTATTTTTATTTTACTTTCCGTGTTGATTTTAACAAAGGTTGGCGAAACTTGAAGAACAAACGATGGAGAAGCCAAATGTAACTATTTCGGACCAACCTCCACCGTATTCTGCAACTGTGCCACCTGGTAAGTTTGCAAAACAAATTATGTTTCACCATCCTTGCACATAATGGTAATGAATCACATCGTTATACATATTTCTTTGATAAGGATTGTTGGTAGAAACTTCGATACTACGCAAATATTATTTCTTTAAACATAATTTAGCCATAATTCTGTACTCAAATTATGCGGATCGTACTATTATATTTAATTAAATGTCTATTAAAAAGGCAACTAACCGGTTCCACCACTATACTTTTTATTTGATATAAATTATTAATGTAGTTATAAGTCAAGAATATTCAAGAAATTCGTTTCAAAACTACGAAAACCTAAAAAAGTTATTGGATTACTCTAATCCGGAATACATCGTATCATTTACGCATATCCGATTTTATTTCCAGCTTAGTGTAACTAATGAGTTTGTGGTGTATGTACAAAATGACTGTTTGGTGATATTTCCGATAGTATTTATGATTATGATAAAAAAAAAATTAAGAAGAATTATTTATGTCATGCAATGTACTACAAAGCATATTATGTTTAATACTTTAGTATTAACATCAACACTGTTCAGGCAACAATTATTATCTTATCTCTTGAGTTGTTATTATATGTGAATGCTGTTTGGAATGTCTGTACTCGGAAATAGCCCATTTATACTTTTTAATTATATTACAAAGCTCTTGATAAATATATAATGTAGATAATTATTGTTATACTATATATGAATACATATTACAATCATGTAAGTGTAACTATAGTATAAAATAAAATGTATTTTGTATAAAATTTCAGGTCCACTTCCTCAACCAGCAGCCCAGCCGGCTGGGATGCAAGGGGGAGCATACCCACCACCACCTCCTGGTTACACCCCATATGCTACAGCGCCACCACCCACTGCATTTGTACCGAACTACGGAGCTACCAACATTGTAATAACTCCACCTATAATCACCGTTGGAGCTTGTCCAGCGTGCCGTGTTGGTATACTAGAAGATGATTTCACATGCCTTGGCATCCTCTGTGCTATTCTCTTCTTCCCGCTGGGAATATTATGCTGTTTAGCAATGAAAAATAGAAGATGTTCAAACTGCGGAGCATTATTTGGGTAACAATAACTGGAATATTTGTATCAAGATGAAGGACTAAGGGTGAAAAAATATTCTATCATACATAAATAAGTATAATAGATTACATTTTCGTATTTTTATACGCCAAAACTATCCATAACGTAAAAATAAAATATGTTGGAGGTATAGCCACATTGGAAACAGTGACTGATAAAAATATGTAAATATTATATGTCTGTGATTATGCCTATATAATACATATGTATTTAATTCAAATAATATGTGAAAATAAATTGTATTCTATAACCAACCAAGTTAACATTCCAGGAATTTAAAAATAATACTAAAATTGGAATTAATGTTTTGTCTAACAAAGTACTAAATAGTACAGTATTCTTTTAAATGAAGCTTAAAGCTTAGTAAATATAAAAAATACATTAGGTATTGCTTTTATACACCTATTTTCATTTTTGTCGCATAACATTTTCCTTTTTAATTGACAACCAAACATATTCAAATAAATCGTTATGACTTATTTAAATACAGCGGGTTTCAGCAGCTGTTTTTTTTTTCAAAGACCATGTAAGGGTTGACTATGTATAAATACAATTATCACTATAATGGAAACTAACAAAGAACCATGTTTAAGAGATTGCCGAATGAGTTATGTTGAGGCAATCATGTTTATTATTTGTGACTTTACAGTATAGTTTTTTGCATGCATAATGTTATGTTTGTAAACCCATATGTCTGAGTATCTTCTGTTGCACTGCATATTATATAATATTGCATGAGAAATAAAATTGAAAGTGAAAATAAAGCTAGCATCACATATCAATGTTAACAAAACATTGTATTCAATACTATGATTATGTTATGATTTAAATATTATTGTTTAGCTTTTAGGGATATTATAAATGAATCTGTTATAGGCAAAATAGTGTTGCCATAATCACATTGTTACTGTGATTGAATTAGTATACCAAATTGATTGAATGTTGCCATTTGATTGCAATAATTATCGATATTTGTTAAGTGTAATTGGTAATTTTTTTTTTATTTTATTACTCTGTGGCTTTCCATTGCTAAAACATTTACAGAAATGTATTTTTTTGAAAATACAGATAAAAAATTTCTGAACATGTTTTGAGCTGTGAACTCATGGTTATGCATTCTCAAATTATATTACTAATAATAACATATTTTGATTTATAATTCATTTTTCTTTTACTATTATTATGTTAAAAAAAGACAATACAATTTTTTTTTCTGAAAAAAAAAAATGTTATTAATCATTTCTTTTTAAATTGGAAACTTTTGAAAATGTACAAGGCTGCTTTTATTAGTTTTATTAATTACAATATACAGTCAAACCTGGATAAACAAGTCGCAGAGACCAAAACATTTTTCTCACTAATAGATTACTCTAACCTGAGATTCTCGCTTATAGAGCGAGTTTATAAAATTTTCTTTCGGTACATCCACTCCTCCGTCGATTAAAGGTAGGTAACGCATCAACACGAACGTCTATGGACAGCGATCGATTCGCTATTTCGGCGAATTCAGTTGGCCGCTTGTTCGTTCGTCACCGTCTTATTCATGTTTGACTGTACATATACGGTACAAATGTATCCACATTGTTGTTTAATAATTTCAGTATAATCGATAAGATCTCATAGACCGGCAACGCAGCTGTGGTTCCTCTGGTATTTCTGATGTCTATGGGCGTTGTTGAACACCTCCGTGTTCCCGCTGCTCGTTTGCCCACTTCTGTTATAAAAAAAATATTGTAGGATACATATAGTTGTTTGTAAGCGGCCAATGCATGCCTTTCTTAATTATGTAAGAATATTGTTGATTATAATTTAGTCGTAATATTATCGCGATATATAAAAGTTATTATTGTATTTGTATTATATTTTTAAAGTAAAGTTTGGGAAATAATGTGCTTTGTTTTATTTACATTCACAATTAAAAAAATGTTGTGTAGTAGGTTAACATTTGATAATGGAATGTAACATCGTGGTGGAAGACTCCCATATAAAAAAAAAATAATCTATTTAAATTAGTGTACAATGCAGTAGATATTATTTAAATGGAATAATAAAAAGTCTAATTACCAGCACGACACTGAAATTTGACCGTTGCTGGCAAAGCTGAGCCACCCCCTTTTGCCATCACTGTTTCTGTATAACTGTGTGTTGTGTAACGTTGTTACGTTTTTTTATGGCAATAAAGATTATTATTATTATTAAAAAGTTGAAAAAAAAAACTATTTTAATATGTACATTGGTAAATGCTTTTAGGTTTTGTAAAAAATAAAAGTTCCGAGTTCGAGCACATTTAATTTTGTAGTAAAATGACAAAAACTCGTTTAAGAATTATTTAAATTCTGGCAGCGCCTAAGCGATTTCATTTTTTGCTACTCACGAATTAGGGTACGGATTAAACGACCTTTCTTTTTTATTCGGATAACGAATTTATATGACGACGTTTCAAGAATACGTTTAGGTAAGAAACATTTAAAAACTACTACATTTCAGAGAATTTACTTTCCCACTAAGTCTAATGGTCACTAAGGGTGCTTTAGTATAATTAAGGATTAGAAATCTACACTAAGGAGTTGCATAAAGGAGCGTGGAACATACTAGTTGGCTTCGGTTGCGTCCTATTCTTGTAATTGTATGCGCGTATTTTTGTTTTGCTACAACCTTTGAAAACACAAGGTTAATTATAAGTAAATATCGCTAGTTAATTTCAAACGATCTCCTCCAGACATTGTTTAATTGCTTGAAATTATTGAGTCTCCCAAATGGAATGGTAATGCGGCAATTTGCATCGAGTGACCGCTTTAATTAATTTTATTTGAACTAATTTCGAATTCTCTCCGGAGACTTTGGAGTCCGCCTGAGACGAGGGTCCGGGTACAATTTGTTATATAATTTAAGAAAACTTTCATTGGAAAAAAGGGTTAATGAAAAGTTTAATAATCTCAAAATAAATCAATTTGAAATTACGTGATTTATCGGCGTAACGAGATAGAATCGTAGCATAACGTCCCTCAAATAAAACAAACAATAGATGCTAAATACCTAACAAATAAAACTTATCATCCATCTTATATGTTTTTATGTCTTAATATGTTTTATACAAGTGCTACAGCAGTGGAAATGCACGACAATTACAAACAAGTAGCCGAATTCATTAACTATTTAGACACAGAGTATATAAATAGCGCATGCAATCTTTTAATAAAAAATAAGTACATTTTAACTTCTTCTTCGGCTTCTGTTTACTAAAGCACTTGCATACATTTTGTGCTGTTCCGGAGTTATTAAGTGCCGTAATTAATATAACCGCGGTATACAAGCTCGTGACTTCATTTCGAACCTCAAGGGGGATTTAACCGTAATATTGGAAAAATAAATTTCCGCAAAATTTTAATATTATTAACAGTAAAAAAGGAGGTTCAAATAATACTTACAATATGGGCAAGATTTTATAAATTAAATTGTATTTTGCACAGTATTCGTAGTTGTAGGTACTATTATTTTTTTTTAATAGAGAAGATGGCAAACGAGCGGATGGAACACTGAGAAATTCTGCTTGCTAATAAAACTAGTTGTTTTCGTATTCATGTAAATAATTTTAACTAAAATAAAAAATCAAATTCAGTATTGATTATATAAATAATACAGAAAACAGATGTACTACACAGCACAGCATTGCGCGGTTAAATTTAATTTAACTGTAAATGGAAAAAAGGATTGAAATGTTTAATTTGACGAGCGACACAAGCGACATCTGCGCCGTTACATCGCAATTACAATTTACATTCAGCTTCGTTTGATAGCTGTAGGGATGCAATAGCCCCATTTTATGTTCAACACGCATATTCAGTAAAAATATTTGTTACTGAAAGGCCATCAACTCATCTGCGGTTCCTCTGGTATTGCAGATGTCCTTGGGCATCGATGAACACCTCGATGTTCCCGCTGTTCTTTTGCCCCTTCTCTTATTATATAAAAAGGTACGATAACTCAACGTTTGTGGTTATAGTTAGAGTTAACTTCCAATTCATACATTTACAAGTGCAATTTCTAAATTGTTTTGTTTCAATTATACATAATAGCTATCGCCCGCAACTCCGTCTGCTCAGAATTAAAAAAAAAACTTAATAATTAGCCTATGTGTTCTTCCAGACTATGTTCTATATGTATGCCAAAATTTCATCGCGATCCGTTCAGCCATTCTGGATATACATTCAAACATCCATCCATATAAACATTCGCATTTATAATATTAGTAGAATAAGATTTACAAACTCCAATGCTTTAATAACAATTTGATAAGTTAGAATATTATTTGAACAATACAAATAAGTGTATTAAAGATCTTTGAAGTTAAAAACTTAAAGTTAAAGTTAGAGATAAAACAATACATAAGTATTGAAAGCTTTACAATGTCTAAGCATTGTTATACAAATCCATTTCACGTTTATCGTTACTTTTACGTCCAATTTGTTAAAGCGCTTATCTGCTGAGACATGAGATTCTTTGTATGTAAAATCCCTCTATAAATCCTGATGGATCTTGTTGGCGTCAAGCCAGACTATCGAATTTCTCAAGTCTTTTTTATATATTTATGTCGCCCGCGACTCTGTCGTCGAGGAATTAAAAAAAAAACTTAATAAGTAGCTTATGTGTTCTTTCAGGCTCTGTTCTACATCTGTGTAAAATTTCATCAAGATTCATTAAGCCGTTCCAGAGATACCTTTTCACAAACATCCATCCACCCACCTAAACATTCGCATTTATAGTATTAGTAAGATTTTTGAATTCAAAAATATTCCAAAAAGGTTCGGAACTTATAGTATGTTATAGTTCAATAGAATAATCGTGGGATTCAAACCCATGACAGCGATCGGTGGTCCGTATTCTTAACCATTAAGCTACTAGCGCTTCGATCACAACTCTAATGTTTCTTAAATTAGACCAAATATAAAGTAATAAGGAGCAGCAATAATAATTTGCTAATAAACATATTTTATGATAAAAGAAGGCAAATCTTACTAATATTGTAAATACTAATGTTTGGAATGATGGATGAATGGATGAATGGATGGATGTTTGTTAGAAGATATCTCCAGAACGACTACATGGATCTCGCTGAAATTTGACATGAGAACATAGTTTAAACGAACACATAGTCTACTAATTGAGTTTGTTTAATTTAGTGCAGATGGAGTCGCGGGCTAAAGTTAGCAAATAAGTTTGCGCAGTGTAATAAAACAGCACCGATAACTTAAGGTTAGAGCAAACCTGTCTGCAAGATGAAAGCCTTATATCATTTTACAATTTAAAAGCATGATATCGTAAATTTAATATTTCTTTAGACGTCACAACGTGTAAAGATATATTTTCATAACATAATTCTTTTGAAACTGCTTACACGAGGGACGTTTGAAAAATTGATTATTAATATCAACAAGAGAACAGACTTCGCGTAGATATCACGTAGGCACGTAACATACATTTA